ACTAATTACGACCTAGTTTGTGTCATTTTGACCCATTTGGACTCCTTAAGGATAAATAGCGCATTATATCCACAAACACTAAATGGACCCAATAAGGGACCATTAAGACCCATTCTACCTCAATTGGTCCCTCATTAACTTCTGATTAGACTAATTATGAACCAATTAGTACCATTATAAGTCTATCATACTCAAAATGGAGAAATAAGCCCATTTTACCCTTTAATGTCTGATCAGACTGAACATGAGCCATTTTAGTCTCATTTTGATCCAAATGGACTCCTTCTGGAGAAATATGCCTATTAAAGGTCTAACGAGATTAATTACAATCAGCGTATTCTCATTTTGACCCAAATGACTCGATCAATATTAATCGTCCCATTATATAACCCACTAACACCAAATGCACCCCTTAGGAACCATTTGCTATCATTTTGAACCAATTAGACTACTTGTAAGGAAATGGGCATACTATTAACCCACTTAGGGTCTGATGAGATTAATTATGATCCATTTAATGTCTTTTTGACACAAAATGACTCGATTAAAGGAAATCCCCACATCTACCGACTAGAATCAAATGGACCCATTATGGTCCCATAAGCACCATTCTACCTCAATTAGTCACATTAACGTCTAGTTATACTAACTGCGACTCATTTAATATCATTTTGACCCAATTAGGCTTCTCAAGGAGAAATGGGCCCATGATGCAGATTAGGGTCTAATGAGACTAATTATGACCTACTTAGTGTCATTTTGACCCAATTGGACTTCTTGAGAAGAAATAGCCTATTATATACTCTAACACGAAATGGACCCAGTAAGGACCAAAGAAACCTGTTCTACCTCACCTACCCTCATTAACTTCTCATTAGACTAATTATGACCGATTTAGTACCAATATCACTCAATTAGACTCAAATTGGAGAAAGAAGCCGATTATGACCATTAAGGTCCCATGGTATAAATCGGTTTGGTTTTCTGGTCATATTCCTAAACATGCTTTTTGTTTATGGCTTGCATGCCAGCGTCGTCTTCCAACCCAAGACCGTTTACTCTGGAAGGATGAACCTCCTGACCTTGAGTGTTCACTTTGTGGTCAGAGTCTGGATAGTCATGCACATTTATTTTT